GCCTCCACGGAGAAGCCAGAGCCCACATCGGAAGCCGAAGCCGCACCAGATCGGCATCGGAAACAGCGTCGACGTCGACGCTGACCGAAGCGGCGGAGCCGAGAGGAGCCCTGGCCCAAGAGGCGGAGCACACCCGAGCCGGACCGGCGTCGAGGGGACGAAGCACGGCGGGAGCGAGCGCGTGGGGGGAGGGGCGCGGCCCTGCCCTCGCTGCCCCGGCAAGCCGAGGCGGGGAGGGCGAGAGCTGCACCGGAGAGGCGCCCCGGGGACGCGCACCAGCGTTCTTTCGAATTCAACGGCTAGGCTCAGGTCGGGCCCGTCCCCCTACAGGCCGATTTTGGACGACAAATGAAAAGCACCCCAAACATGACTCAAAACATGTGCAGAAATAGTCAAACAATCGCCCCCAGACTATATGTTTCTACTGTTTCTGAACATTCCTCTTGTAGAGGGACAGGCCCGACTGAAGCATAGGGGGACTGCGCTGGCGATGGATGACGTGAACGGGGGTGCCGTTGGGCCGAAGTGTGCCGCCATGCAGGATGCAGGAGAAGGAGGAGGAGAACCACCACTGCGGACAGCTGTCCGGGCCTGCTCGAGACCTGGTGGAGGAGGCCGAAGCCTCTTCAAACCTTTACGTATGGATTACACGCGATCATGCATATGGACAGCGAAACAATAGAACATCTGCGACGGAGGAAGGAGGAGGGACGTCCTGGATGTGGATGTCGGCGTAGTGCCGTTACGTGGGGTGTGCGTATTGCCGTTCGAGTGTCGACCAGGTGGTGGTGTTTTGGGCCGTGCGAATCCAGGTGAAGTCGTTGAGTTGGCCTTTTGTAGTCGGTGTGGGCGTTGGATGCTGGTCGGGGTTGTTTTGTTGGGGGAACTTGACGAAGTCGTCTTCCCAGCGTTTTCGCTGGCCGCCTTGCTGTCGTTGTCCGCGTTGGAGTGGGTTCTCTCCTGGTTGCCAGTGGAGTGCGCGCCAGGTCCACCTGGTGGGGTCATGGTTAGCAACCCCCGACGCCATACGCCACGACTTCTGTCTGCGAGCTGTCTCCCAAATTGCGACTAGGTGGTGCTGCATGAGCTGCTCTGCACTCCGTGTTGCTCGCTGTATATACTCGACCCAGGGCTCTAGCTTGTCCTCGTTGTCGTCGTCATTGTCGTTGCTCTCGCTGTGTGGATATGCTGCGTCTTGCTGTGCTGCGTTGCTGTCTGCGTCGTCGCTGCTGTCGGTTGCGTTGGGGCCGTCGCCAGGTGTTTCGTTGGTCGTGCCGTCGTCCGTGCCGCTTCGGTTATTGCGAGGGACTGTGCTGCGAGTGGTGCGTCGCCGTGTCGTTTTGGTGATCATGCGGAGCATGCGTCGTTGCGTTCGTCGCAGGTGTTGCTGGAGAGGTTCCGTAAGCGTCCAGGTCTCTGCTCCGTAAAGCGCCGTCGGTGCAACTGTGCTGTTGAAAAGCCGAAACCTGTGCGCCAGCGGGTAGCGCTTGCTGGTCAGCTCCTGTTTGTGTGAAATGAATGATGCCCATGCGGTTCTCGTGCGGTGGTGGATCTCTGTCTCCGTCGCGTCGTGGAAGCTGATGAGTTGGCCGAGGTATTTGATGTTGCCCTCGTGTGGCAAGATGTCGATGTCCTGTCCATGCCCTCAGCGCGCGCCGTGCGCGAGCTCGCCCTGCCGGTCTTTCTCGTACGGTTGCTCAATATCTTGGTCTTGGAAGGGTGCAGTTCGAGTCCGTGTGGTTGCGCCGAACGCACAATATCTTCCAGCATCGTTGTGAGGCGCGGGAGAGTCTGACTGGTTAAGAGCACGTCGTCGGCGAAGCGAAGGTTGGTGAGTGTGGTGGCGGCGGTTCGCCCCAGCTGAACGCCCTTGCCCTTCTTTTGCCATTGGGTGATCAGCGGTTCTAGAATGTGTTGTAGAAGAGCGTTAAAGAGGAGGGAGCTGCGCGGGCCCCCTTGTTTCGTGCCCCGTAGTATAAGGCTGAAGGGCTGGCTGGATACATCCGTTTTGACTGTGGTTTCCTGTCCCTCGTACAACTGCTGGAGTAGAGAGATGTATCCTGGCTGGACACCTTGCACCTTGAGTGCTGCCCATATGCTCTCGTGTTCGACCGTGCCAAAACCTTTTGTTAAGTCGAGCGCTGCAACCCACAAGTTCTGGTTCCATTCGTGCGCTCGCTCTCTAAGAGTGTGAAATGTGAGGAGGTGGTCGGTGGTCGAGTGTCCTGGTCTGAAGCCTGCTTGGTCAGCTGTCTGTCGAGAGTCGAGTGCCGGTTGGAGTCGGTTGTAAAGCAGCCTGCTGAAAAAGCTTGTAAAGCAGCGGTATCGTGCATATAGGGCGGTAATTTTGAGGAAGCGTGAGATCCCCACTTTTTGGAATTACCGTGTCAACTATGCTCTTCCAGCTGGCCGGTGGCGGAGCGTTGGGCTGCAGGGGCGTGTTGTAGAGGTGGAGCAATGCTTCTTTGAGTTCTTCCGTGCGCTTTTTCAGCATCTCTGCTCTGAGGCCTGTGGTGTCGAGAGCTTTGCCAAGGCGGAGCTCCTTGATCGCCTTGTCTACCTCTGCTTTTGTGAAAGGTGGGAGGTCGTCGTCGGGCCGTTCTTGCTGCGTCGACTCTGCCGTTGAATGGTAAAGGTGCTCGCAAAATTCTGCGAAAACGGCAGCACTGTCTTGTCTTGTCGTGCGCTTGGCGCCGTCTTGGTCTGTCATGTGCGCGATGAGGGTCCGCTTTCTGCGTGTCTTGATGCGCGCGATGCTCTGCAAGTCTCTGAACTGGTCAAGCAGGGACGCGGCCGGGGGAAAAACAAAAATGGACGAGGCGGGCGGCCCCGGGGTCAGCACGCTCCCGCGTCTTGTGGCGCAGCAGGCCCCGGCGCCCGGCGCGCGGCGAGGGACGCGCAGACGGACAGGCAAAGACACCAGAACTCCCCGCGTGTCAGTGTTCCTCATCTCGCCATCGCTCGGACGTCCATTCCCCGTGCACGTTTCGATGTCGTGCGCTTATGCTTCACCAGATGAGTCAAGATGCTTCTCGATGGCCCGCGCCGATGTAAGATGCACACGTCTGAGCGATGCCAATTCTTGCTCCTGGATGCTCGTGTCCCCCTCCACTTCCAAATGTTTCTATGCTCCGGGGGATCGACGTTTATTTGTGCCCGTGTGTGCTTTCCCTCCTGACGCACGCATACCCGCCAGTCGGAAGTAGGTGGAAACATGAAGCAGGAAGGCGGATGAAAGAGCGGACTCGGGCCCGCCCACAGCAAGCACGCATCGACGCCTGAGGCAGGAAGGCGCTTGAAGCAGGCTGGAATCTGGACCTCCCGAACACACACCTGCGTCCAACGACTGGCGTGTACACCAGCCCTGGCCAGGCCCACGTTGGACCAAGGATCTGTCCAGTCCACGTTTCCTTGACGAGCGAACAGCGCACCCCATACCCATGGGAGGCACGGAAGGGGGCTCTGGAGGCGTGCTGTCGGAGGGGGGTCCCCGCTCGAACGGGAGACTCCGCTGGGGTCCGACAGCCCGCATCCACCACAGCCAGTCTTGCTCAATCCGACCCCCCTTGTGGGTATGGGTGCGTGCTGTTCGTTTGTGATTCCTGGCCTGGCCCTGGAAGCAGGTACGGTCAAAAACCCTAGTAAGGACGCGCGGTAAGGACGCGAGACCCTTGGAAGCCGAAGTTGGGATTCTTGGGGCGGCGGACGACGAAAACCTCAAGGACGCAAGAGCAAGGGAGCGCAAGGACGCCAGGGTACCCTGAGCAAAGTCGCGCGTCCTTATTAGGGCTTTTGACTGTGTGCCTGGTCTGGGGCCCGGGGTGAGCCTGGCCAGGATAGGTGCCCGTGCACAGCTCTCGTCGCCCAGGGAACCAGAGAGCAGAACATCCACCCTCATAGCAAGCACACCGACCAGCAAGGCCATTTAACAGACGCACCCAAGGAAGGAATCGAACAGGGCAGGGCTGTGTAGAAAACACCCAGGGCCGTTTGGTAGACGCCGATTATCGGGGTCGGAGTGATTTTATCCTCCCTTGAAGAACGGCCCCGAGAGGCCGATGCTGCCATTGGAGCAACGACGCGCTTGCAATTTGTTGCGTTTTCGCTAAGCCGGGGAGTTGGGGTAAGGCCAGCGGAGGCGGAGAGGGAGCAAGGCTGAGGCATCGGGTCCTCCCCCATTCATCAGAACGTGTAGGGAACAACCGCCGAATCACTCCACCGACATGTTGATAACAGAGGTCACCCAGAAGAAGCCCCCAGAGGCCCCCAAGAGGCCCAAGAGAGACTCCAGAACGGCCCCCGAGACGCTTCAAAACTGCCTCCAGGAGGCTCCACCCGGCCCCCAAACAGCTCCAAGACGCCCGCAAGAGTCCCCAGAGAATCAGTGCCCGAGAAGCCCACGGCGCCTCGACCGTGGCCTCCGCGCCTCTTCTTGGGGCTGGCGGAACGGCGCAGGCCTCTTGAACAACAGAGGTCACCCGGAGGCATTGTCTGTCCCATTCTGCCCTTCAACTCTCGGCATAGGGGACATCGCCAGGTTGCTGTCCTTGTTGGCCTCCTCATCCTCCTCCTTCTGCTCCTCCCTCCTTCTCCAGCCCCCTGCGGGAAGCTGCGAAGTCTAGCTTGGACGACCTCGCTCGAGGCAAACGACCAGGGCACCCTGCCCGAGCCAAGCAATCCAACGCCGTTTCGGACAGGGAGAATCGAACGTCTCACTGTTCAGCTGTTCATCCGTGCGCGCATCTCCGCAACAAAACTCCATCCTTCCCCTGCACATTCCTCCTGCTGCTCCTCCCCCCTTCCCCCGTCTGCTCTCTCTCCTCCTCCTCCCCCTCCTCCTCCTCCTCTTCCTCCTCCTCCTCCTCTTCCTCCTCCTCCTCCTCCTCCTCGTCCTCGTCCTCGTGCTCGTCCTCATCCACCATCTCCCCGCCAATCCTCCCCCCTCCTCACCCTCCCTCATTGCTTGACTCCTCCTTCGAAGGGGGAGAGGGTCGGCACGCCTTGTCGAACTCTTTTGCGAGGGCATTGTCCGCCTTCGCCTCCTCCTTGCTGATGAGCCCGTCACCGTCTGTGTCCAGTTTCGCAAAGGCCGTCTGGCGCGAGCTAGGCGAAGGAGGCTGACACAGGAAGGACCGAGACGACAAGGGTAAAACAGGGGAGAGAAGCGCCCCCTCTCCTTAGAGGGCGCTGGCCCTTTTATCAATGGACAATGCCCGCGCCTTTTGAGAAGCAGCCTCCTTCTGAGAGGCATTCCCCTTCTCCCTCTCAGGCGGGGCGCTGGTTTCAGCGCCCATAAGGGGAGCCGCTGGGGGTGTTATCACGGGCCCGTTCGCGGCCAGTTTGCGGGGATGTTTGAAGCGGTTTGCTTGTTTTCATGCCCAACATCCTTGGTTTTCAAATCAGATTCTGAACATGTCTCAGGCGGGGCGCTGATTTCAGCACCCATATCGGGAGCCGCCAGGGGTGTTTTCACGGGCCCGTTCGCGGCCAGTTTGTGGGGATGTCTCAAGCAGTTTGCTTGCGCTCATGCCCAACATCCTTGGCTTTCAGATCAGATTCTGGGGATGTCTCAGGCGGGGCGCTGGTTTCGGCACCCCCAAAGAGGAGCCGCCAGGGGTGTTTTCACGGGCCGTTCGCGGCCAGTTTGTGGGGATGTCTCAAGCGGTTTGCTCGTTTTCATGCCCAACATCCTTGGTTTTCAAATTAGATTCTGAAGATGTCTCAGGCGGGGCGCTGGTTTCAGCACCCCCAGCGGGAGCCGCCAGGGGTGTTTTCACGGGCCCGTTCGCGGCCAGTTTGTGGGGATGTCCCAGGCAGTCTGCTTGTGTTCATGCCCAACATCCTTGGCTTCCAGATCAGATTTTGAAGATGTCTCAGGCGGGGGGATGGCGCCTCCTGAGGAAGAGTGACGGCCCGTAGTCCTTCCCGCCCGATGCCCCGTGCGGACGGCACTGTTTGCCCAGATCCCTCTGCCGCTTGCCTCGCACTGCAAAGCCCGACGCCCAGTGTAGACGGTAGACGGCTGCTTGTCTGCGCGGGCGTTAAACTTCGACAGCCCATGCCGGGTTTCGAAGCCCGATGCCAAGTGCGGGCGGCCAGGGCCGAGGCGCAAACTGCAAGGGTGCCATTTAGCGCTGCTCCTTGGGTGCTTTGGACGCGGCGCCACGAGAAATCTTAGCCTCTGGAACACATCGAGCATCTTTATCCCGTCGAAACGTAGTCCGGTAAGAATCATCATCGACGCAGTCTTGGCTCGAAGCGGAGGTCGCCCATCGGACCCACCATCTCTATACTCATTGAACGCAGTCTCACTTCTTCGGTCGGAAACGCCCATGCTTAGCACGGCGCCGCGGACGGGGGGAAGACGACGAGGTCTCCAAGGCGCTGGGCGCGGTTCCGCCGACATTCGACAGGTCTTCCTGCGAATTGCTTTAGGAGAAGCGCCAGAGAGTGCAAATCAAGGCTCGACCACTGCGACGTCCTCGGGGGCAAGCGCTGCCGCTGTCAGCGCAGACGCGCGCTTTGCTCGGGCGCTAGACAGCCTTCTGGCATGGCTGGCTCCCGTGGGCGGAGATTCGACTGTCGGAGCACGTTGCGCAGATCGGTGCACCTTCGCAGCAACGGAGTTGGCCTGTGGCCCTCGGAGACAGAGGCGGCCGTATCTCAATTGCTGGATGACGGCGCCGTTTACGAGACGATCGATGACCATATTCAGGTGCTGGAAAGGCGCGGTTCTTATTCCAGCGCGGCTGCGAACGAAGGCGACGGCGTCAACGGGGCGCTGGGCGACGCGCGGGACATCGCGGAGGGGGCCGAACAAGAGCCCGACATGGCACAGCTGGCAGATATGAGGTCACAGATGTAGTGATTCGCGTCGTGCCTCTGGCCCTTCGCCCCGATGCCAAGCGCAGAAGGCTTCTTCTTGCGTTGCCAGCGAAGCCCGATGCCAAGTGCGGACGGCCGAAGCCGAGGTGCAAACCGCGAGGGTGCCATTCGTAGCATTTGCCTTTTGCACGTCATGTACCCGCGACTTCTGTTGGCGTTGCCAGCTAGGCCCGGTGCGAAGTGCGGACGGTTAAAGCTGAGGTGCAGGTCGCGAGGTGCCGTTTGAAGCACTTGTCATTCGTACAGTTCTCCCCCTGGTGCTTCGGACGCGGCGCCGAAGGAATTCGTTGTCTTGACAGAAAAACAAAAGATGCGCGGGCATATGCATGTGAATGAATGCGTGCACGTGGTGGATGTGCAGCCGCGCTGCGCGCACGTGTGCTCGACGCTCACATGGACGCGCTCGTGGAGCAAACAACTATCATGGACAGGTGCTCGCCGTGGCACTACCCTACAACATGAAATGCACATATGGCCTTGTGTGGCAAAACGCTCGTTTTACAGATCCCACTGCTAAGTATCCTAAAACATACGCACATTACCACAGACTGAGAAGGGCACGACCTGGCAGCTGAGGAGGGGGAATGAATGGGAGGCTCATATTCAAGCATACTCAAAGCTCACTCTGACTCATACTTACTCACTCACTCGTATTAGGATTCACTCGTCTTCGTCGGCCCTGTGGCCCATGTGGACGCGCTGTTATAGTCGAGCGCTCATGAACAGATGCTCACTATGGCATGACACAAAACATGAGATGCACACACGGGGCGCTCCACGCAGTGAGTCATTCGTGTCTGTGCGCTTCCCTCTCCCACATCGCCCCCTCTGCAAAAAAGCGCGCGCGGGGCGCCGAATCGGCCATATTGTCCACCTTGTCCTTCCACCACCTCTCGATCTTCGCGTTCTGGGTCTGCCCCCCCCCCCGCGCGCGCGCCCGACGGGGGCCGAGAGCGGAGGAGGCGCAGCGGCGCAGCGGCGGCCCCGCGACAGCGGCTGGCGGAGGAGGGCGAGGCAGGGGCCGCCTGCAGCGTGGGGGGTGCTCTGAGGATGGGGGGCGCCCTGGCCAGGCCAAGGAGGAGGGGGCGATCCACCCAGGCATCCAGCGCCTCGATCTGCTTCGAGACACGGGCTCCCGACCCCTCGACCACTTCCCCAGGACTGGCTTTCCATCACGAGTCGTCTGTTGAAGGGCCCCGAGCGCTCCGCGGGAGTTTCTGATCCCCCGATGGGCCCACAGAGCCCTGGGGGCACCCTGCGAGGCTCGAAGTCGACGACGGGTGTGCCCCTTGATTTCTGGCAGCAAGATGTCTGATCGTACTAGACGTCGTGTCAGGGCCTACGCACCCAAACATCCGGCGCCTCTTGAACATCGAGACCCTGCTTCTTCATGGTTTCCGGGCCTCTCGGGGCCCTTGACGGGCCTCGGGACCGTCAAAGAACGACTCGGGACGGAAAACCTGTCCCAGGGAAGTGGTCGAGAGGTCGTGGGCCCGTGTCTCGAAACAAATCGAGGCGCTGGATGTATGGGTGGTTGCATCTAGTTATTTGTTTCTCTCTCTCTCTCTCTCTCATCTCTCTACGAAAGTACGTTTACCTAGGCTCGATCTGGCACATGAATTTGATTGTGCGATGCTCATTCTCGGCGGCGAGCCAGCGGGCGAAGTAAGAAGGAGCGGGCCTTCTCAGAAGGCTCGGGAGTCCCCCGGGCTTCCGAGAGCTTATCCAAGCCTTCCCCGAAAACGCGGGAAGCTTCTCAAAGGCGCGAGGACTTCGCAGCTTCCCCCCCTCGCTCGCCGCCGACGTGTTTGTGCAGTAGGAGCCCGAAGACAAGAGATTTTCCACAAGAAAACCAGCCCTGAGACCCCAGGACGTCCATCGATGTTTGGTGTGGGCACGGCACGCTTTCTACGACAAAACCATCCAAACCCAAGAAATCCAAGGCACCCTGGAGGCAAGCAGGGTGTTTCTTGGCATGGACCCCCAGTGTAGACTGGCCGTTTGGGTGCTGAGCTCGGGCAGTCGGGAGAGACCCGGCCATCGTGTAGTATTGTGCCTCCTTCGTGGAGGTGATTTGACCAGCAAGACGCCCAGCGCCACTATGAGTGGCAGTCGTAAGGGCGCCAGAGCTGGAGCGACACAAGGTGAGCAGCTGCGCCTTGTGACCGACGGCCGGTTCCGCGACGCCGCTCTGGTCAGCCTATTTTGCACCTGTGCGCCCCAACGGGAATACCGGGGGTCGAAGAATTACGATTACGACCATTGTGTGAACAACCCTCGGTGGTCTTATAGAGGGCCGAGGGCAGGCAGCGAGGTAGCCTACTGTGGCCACCCCTTTCCGTTGCCCCCCCAGACGGCCGCGCAGCAGAAGCAGCTGGTGCTGAAGTGCTTTGGTTTGCCTGATTGTGACCTCGTTTGGGTGATCGAGTTGAGGGGCCGAACAGCACGGCGCAATGCCGGCCCCAGCGGTTGGGCTTCGTGTGCAGACGAGGCGTCAGACTGCTCACTGTAGTCAGTCTGCTTTGGTCCCACGGTCATGCCACTGGCCATTCCACTCCTCCTCCTACGCCCCCCCCTCGGCCTTGTCCTTCTCCCCCTGCCCCCTCCCCCGTAATGCAATCAACTTTCGAGCGCGCCTGCGGTCTGCGAACCAAGATGTGTTGGCAACAGACGCTATGCCCCGACCTTCCGGATCCAGGAGTGCCCCCGGCACTGACGCCTACCTCCAAGTGTCGTGAAAACCATGGGACGGGTGTTCTTGTGATGGGCTTGTTTTCCACCACCACCACCACCATAAGTTGGAGGGAGGAGGGGGTCCTCCTCCCCCTCTTCTTCCTCCTCCGCCTCATCCTCCACCTCCTTCCCCCTTCCAACTTATGGTGGTGGTGGTGGAAAACAAGCCCATCATCTTGGGCGCCCTTTCGGCCCTCGAGGGGGGGGAAGCGCTCCCTGGGCCACGGAAAAACAACTGACCCGCGGAGAGAAGCAGGCCCCGCCGGCTCGGGGATCCGGGTCGAGAGCTCCAGGGGCCCGCGCCGCGAAAAGCTCCCGGCCGCGGCTGGATCACCACCACGGCGCGGAACTGTTCTCGTGCAGAGAGGGGGAAACAAAAAAAAAAAAACAACACACAAGCTCTCGGAGGCCCGCGAGGACTGCTTGGCTCCGCGCCGCGCCCCTCCCTGGCGCACCGAGCGCGCCAAGGATGGGCGCCAGAGGCGCCGGCGGGGGGGGGGGCCAGCGCAGGTCCAAGAACTCCGCGCAGGCTGCTCATGCCGTTTTGTCTCGTCGGAGCGCGGCGCTGCTCCTGGGGGCGAGGAGGCGCCACGACCCCCCGTCCATGAACATGCAGTAGCAGACGTACATGCTGAACTGCACCACCGACTCCCAGGCCTCTATCTGGCCTGCCCAAGTCACCCTCTGCTGAGGCGGGCTCACGGCTGAGATGTGGACGCGTGTCCTCATTCTCCTCCTCCTCCTCCTCCTCCACCTCCTTCTCCTCCTCCCCCCCTTCGCGTACTCACTCCTACGTCTGACTCCTCCTCCTCTTCCTCCTCCTCCTCCTCTCCTCGTATTCCTCCTCCTCTTTCCTTTTCGTCATCTTCCCATTCACGCCCACGAGAGGCGATTGCTTGTCATATGATTTCTCGTCCTAATCCTTCTCTTCATCATCCACCTTCTCCTCATCCGCCTCTTTTTATTCCTGCTCCTCCTTCTCCTCCTCCTCCTCCTCATCCTCCTCCTCGTCATCATCATCATCAGCATCATCATAAGCATCACCATCACCACCATCATCATCATCATCATCAGCATCATCATCAGCAGCAGCATCATCATCATCATCACCATCATCAGCATCATGTTCATCATCATCAACAACATCATCATCGTCATCATCATCAGCATCAGCATCAGCATCACCACCACCGCCACCACAACCACCACCATCACCATCATTATCATCAGCATCATCATCGTCAGCAGCATCATGAGCATCATTATCATCAGCATCATCATCATCATCATCATTATCATCATCGCCATCAGCATCATCATCATGATCGTGATCATGATCGTTATCATCATCAACAGCAGCATCAGCATCGTCCTCCTCATCCTCCTCCTTCTCATCGTCATCACCACCACCATCGTCATCACCGTCATCGTCATCACCATGTCATCATCATTATAATCATCGTCACCAGCATCACTATCCTCATCTTCATCATCATCATCATCATCCTTCTTCTCATCATCCTCATCAGCATCATCGTCACCATCATCATCATCATCATCATCATCATCATCATCATCAGCATCATCATCGCCATCGCCATCGCCATCGCCATCGTCATCGTTATCATCATCAGCATCATCATCACCACCAGTATCATCATCGTAAGCGTAATCCGAATCATAATCGTAATCACAATCCGAATCATCATCAACATCCTCAGCATCATCGTCGTCGTCATCGTCATCTTCACCCGAATCACCAGCGCGATCAGCCTCATCGGCAGCAACATCATCATCCTTAGCCTCACCACGTGGCCGTCATCATCATCATCATCAGCATCAGCACCACCAGCCGCATCTCCGCTGCGTACTCTGTGCGCGCGGCGAGTGCGCGCGCCCTGGCGCCGCGCAGTGCCCAGCCCCGCCCTCCCCCCTCGGGCTCGTTCCCTCGCCTGCCCCGCCTCCTGGAAAAAAACAGCAGTCGACAAAGACATGCTCTCCACCTCCTCGCCCTCTCTTCCCCCTCCCGCCCATCCGACACACACACACACACCCTGCTCCTACAGTCCCCGTGCTGATGTGAGGCAGACACAAGGAGGACCAAGAGGGGATTGCTCTGGCCGCGGGCGAACCCCAGCCACGAACAGACCACTCGACCTGGATATGAGGAGCCGCCCAAAAATCAGAGCCCCCCAGAGCCCGAAGTGGTACTTACATCAGCGTCCTGGTCGCATTCGCAATGGATGGCCTAGTCAACCTCAGTTTGGCGGTAATCGGACTAAGCTGTACAGCTGATGCTGATGCGTCTTATTAGACACGCACGAACAATACTAAGCTGGAACTCTTCACACCTTGGTGCAGACTCAGCGGCGCAGAAGGTGCGATGAAAAACAAAAAGCGGAGAAGCCCGCGAGGGAGAGAGTAGTAGTACTGCGGTGCTGGTACGGAGGTGCAAGATGTCTCCTCCAACCCACCCCCACCCATACCCACATGCCTCCTCCTCATCCTGACAATACTTCTGTTGCCACCGCCCTTCTTGCGTGTCTCCCCCCCTGCACCTCCTAAGCCTCCCGCTGCTGCCCCTCCGTTTCCTCCTAGACCTCATCCTCATTATCTTAGTATTCCCCCTCCTGCTCACCATCAAGTGCCCTGCCTCTCCAACACCCCCTTTTCTTCATCCCCCTTCTCCTGGACCTCCTCCGGATCATCTTATTACTATTTCTCCTCTCCTACTCCTCCAGTTCCTCATCCTCCTTCTCGTGTTCCTTCTCATCACCATCTATATATATATATATATATATATATATAGTGGTGTTGTTCCTCCTTCTCCTCCTCTTCCTCCTCCTCCTCCTCCTCTTCCTCCTCTTCCTCATCCTACGCGTACTATTCCTCCACCTCCCTCCTCTGGTTCCTCCTCCTCCTCCTCGTTCCTCCTCCTCCTCCTTCTGGAACTACGTTCATCATATCTCCTTCGATTATTATTGCAATCCTCCTCCTCCTCCTCCGCCTCCTCCTCCTCAGTTCTTATCATCACTACGATTCTTGATCCTGCTCCTCCGCCTCCTCTGCTTCGCCCTTTCCCGGCCGCGCGCGGGAAAGAACGACCACCCCGCGGGGCGAGGAGGAGGAGGAGGAGGAGGAGCAGGAGGAGGGGTAGGGGCGGTAGGGGGGGGGAAGGAGGAGGAGGAGGAGGAGGAGGAGAAGGAGGAGAAGGAGGAGGAGGAGGACCCCGAAGGACGGCTCCCCGGAGGGGGGGGGGGGCGGCGAAGCGCGGCGAGGCGCCGACGGAGCCTCCCCCAGCGGCGGCGAGCCCGCGGGGAAAGGGCGCGGAGGCGAAGGTCGCCGAAGGGGGCCCCGAAGTCCCCCGGCCTTCTTCGGGCGCGCGTATTCCAGATTTCGTAATAAAGGGAGGGGGGTCTCATTTCGGGGGGTCTCTTCCAGGCTACCTTGGAGGGCCTGGGGGGTCTGGGGGCGATGTTTTGGAGGGTTCTCCCACGGGGGAGGTCCGAAATGGCTTGTCGTGGAGGGTCCAGACCCCCTCCCTCTTATTACGAAATCTGGAGTAGCGATCCATGGATCTGACGCGCGGTCGCCAAATCCATGGACTGGGGAAGGTGCCCTCCCCAAAACTGCGGCCGATGCCGCCCCGTCCGCCGGCGGAGGTCGGAGATTTTTCCCATGTGAACGGCACCCGTCGCTGATCCACGCCCCCTTGATCCACGTTTGCCATCGCCTGACACAAGGCCCCGAAGTCCCCCGGCCTTCTGAGAAGTGTTCTAAGCCTTCCCCGAAGGCACAGAACACCCTTCGGAGTTCGCGAGGGCTCCCGAGGAGTCCCGCCGCCTCCTGAGGAGGCCTTCTTCTGCTTCTCACTGCCGCCCCTGGCTCGCCGCCGAGGCAGAGCGTCCAAAGAAAGGCGGTCACCCAAGAGCACGGCGGGCGAGCCGGCAGCCCTGCAGACGCGACGGGAGCTCGGCCGGGAAGAGTGGGCAACGGGGGCGAGGACGGAGCCCTCCGGGCCCCACCTGCAGGGAGCCCGAACGTGCCCACATCCGCCACCTCCTGAGCTCCCTGGAGATCGATCCCCCAGGCGGTGGTTCTGGTGATGGGCCTGTTTTCCACCACCACCACCACCATAAGTTGGAGGGGGAGGAGGAGGAGGAGGAGGAGGAGGAGGAGGAGGAGGAGGAGGAGGAGGAGGACCCCCTCCCCCTCCAACTTATGGTGGTGGTGGTGGAAAACAGGCCCATCATCTGGACATGGCCAGGAGCTTTCGCTCAGCGTGCCGCGCCGGCGGGCACGGCGGCACGCTGTGCCCTGCCAGCTGGCAGCGCGTCGCTCCGCTCCGCGGGGCGGAAGGCAGAAGAGAATGCTCGGGCGGTGGACGCCTGGAAACTGCCACCGTGGGGTTGGCGCGTCGCGCCGAGGCGTGGTGGGCCAGAACCGGCGGCGCGACACCATAAGCATACTTCTTTCACGGCAGAAGAAGCCAACAACAACTGAGAACGGAGCGCCAAAGCAGGTTCCGCACAAACGGAACCGACACAGAACAGGCGATCAGCAACGAGGAGGCGCGACACAATACAATAAGCACACGCTCGTGACCGAAACCCCACCCCCGCCTCGGAACACGAATCGCGGGCGAAACATAATCTTCGTATCCACGGCCTCGCGGGCCGGGCCACCGGGCCGCGACCCCGCGGGCACATGGCGATTTCTGTCGCGGATGCCACGCGCGGGGCGTCTCCACACGACCGCGCATCCGCGGGGTCGCGCCCCGGAATCCAAACTGCGAGGGCGCGGATACGGACACGTTCGCCGATCGTGGCCGAAAGCTTGAGCAGGGACCGACCGTCCCGGCACTCCTGTGGGCCTACCACGAAATCCCAGCAACCCTTTGGGCTAAGGTGGCCTAGCGATATAATATTTCCTCTTCCGAAGCCATCTTCCCTTCGGGGAGGGGTACCCTCCCTCTCCCCTGAAGATTCTTGGGGCAGGCCGCGATCGGTCAGGGCGCCCAAGAAGGCTCCAAGAGGGCCTCCGATGCTCAAAGATGGCCTCCAAGGTGGCTCAACACAACCAAAGATCGTTCAAGATAGCTTCCGACATACCTCCAAGAGGCCCGACGAGGGCCGAAGAGGCCAAAATCCATCACAAACCTAAAGACAGTGAATGACTAGTGCCTTCTCGCCTTCTCGCTTCTGATGCGCTTTTGCGCTCTCGAGATTACTCCGAGATGTCCCAAGAGAGCCCAAAAAGAGGCCCAAGAGGCCGCCTCAACAACCCCAAGAGGGCCCAAGATCGGCCAAAGAGCGCCCCAAGAGGCTTTGTTGATAGCCACCGGGGGGGACGGAAATTTAGAACCCCCCTCCTTTGATCGATAGCCCTCAACATGGCCCTCAGAGGCCCTCCAGGGCTCCCAAGCGGGCCCAAAGACGGCCCCAAGAGCGCCCAAGAGCGCCCCAAGAGCGTCCCACGAGGGCCCTAAGAGGCGGGTCGCCTCCTCCTCCTCCTCCTTCTCCTCCTCCTCCTCCTCCTCCTCCTCCCCTCGCTCCCGTTCTCCATGGATCCGCCGAGCTTTGTTTCACTCTATGTGTCCTTTCGCCCCTTTTCTCGTCAGCTCTCCTGGGCTGGGTCTCTGAACGGGCTGGTGGGGATACTTTTTGGTACGCGGGCGCGCGAAGCGAGTCGAACGCCGTGCAAGCAGGGGCAGGCCGTGCCACACGCTAAAGAAAAAACAAAGGCTGGTAGGGATACGCGAGGCGTGAAGACTGTTCTTAAAAGAAATATAATCTAAGAACAAGCACGGTGCCCCTGGAAGAGGGAAAAACGATGGATCAAGCTCTGACGGTCTCAGCCAGAAGAGCTCTACATAAGAACATCTCGTGCATACCTCTGGACGCTCTTGGAACATCCTTGGGGGGCCGATAGGCAAGCCGGGACGCTTCGACACTGCTGGATCCAGGGGGGGCGCCTCACCAGCGGACCGCGGCCCGGCACGGCCCGGCTGGCCCGGCCACCACCACGGTGCCACGGTGCGGCACCGGCGAGGGGCAGATGCAGGGCCAAGGCCGCCGCAGGATCACGGCGCAGCATCCCGCGGCACCCCACGGGACCACGAGTGGTCTCTCCCTCAAGGGTTCTCTGCGGGAGGCGTCCAAGAGGGGAGGCGTCCAAGAGGGGAGGCGTCGCAAATGGCCCGAGGCAAGTGCGCGGCCCAGGCCACGGGGGGCCAAGGGACGCAATTACCGAAATTAGAGGAGAAGCCATGAATGACCCTCAAGTGAGCGACGAAAAGCAGGGGGTCTTGCAGGAGACAGCGGCCTTGCGCGGTGGGTACGCAGGCCGCCAGCGCGGCACGCCACCTTGAAGACCAGGGCGCTTGCGCACGGCCTAACGCGGGCAGCTTACGCGAAGATGTCGGCGAAGGCGACACTGTTTTCTTCTTCCGTTGCTCAATAACTATTATCTGAATCACGAGCTGGCCCACCCCAAGATTGATGAGCGGCGAACGTATCCATATCCGCGCCCTCGCGGTGTGGATTCTGGGGCGGCATCCCGCGGATACGTTGTCGCACGGACATGTTCCCCGCGGGGCATCCGCGAAAAACGTCATGCGTCCGCGGGGTCGCGGCCCAGGTGCCTGGCCCGTGAGGCCGCGGATACGGATGTTCGGCGGTGGACAAACCTCCCTTTAGTAAACCACCCTTTAGTGAAAACGGCCTAGGACCGAAACCGACGGACCTGGACCCGCAAAAATGGCGGCCGCGACGCCCTCTCGCGAATCGAAAACAGCCAATTCACTAATCGACGTGTCCGAGTAGAAGCTCTATCAACCTCCGAGATGTTTTACCCCCACGAAGACTGAGAGCGAGCGTTGAGGGGGGACCAGCTCAGGGGGGGACACATCGAGCTAGAATCGGCGATATGCCCCCGATAGCAGATCCGCACGGTCCTGTGCTCGACGGGCTATCGGGCCACTATTGGTGATTCCTGGGCGATCTGGGGTAGATGCATCCCCCCCCGAGCCAATTCGCCCCTAACGTTGCCCCCGAGAGCCGGATCGGAAAAACAGCATGGGCAATGGAAATGCATCGAACCGGCTGAAAAGTCGGCGGGCAGATCGTGAGGCATCGAACTCATTCGAAATCGGCGCCCGCTGGCCCAAATCGAGGCCTACACCAGAAGACCCAAACCGAAGTCGGACTTCGGAATCGCAGCGGATCGAACACGAATCGCTTCGGATCGACGGAGCCGAAGCGGCCCCTGCACCCCGGCCGCAGGCCAGAACTGCGCAGGACGGCGCAGGAAAGCGAGACACAGCAGGGTGCGGCACGGCACCTCTGGCGGACAAGGGGAAGCGATTTCCCCCCCCTGGTGAGTCCGGCAGGCCACGGCGGTGCACGCAGCGACACCGCTCATTGGGCGGTGCCACCGCCGAGAGGACGAGCCGCCCGCCCCGAGCAAGGCCCCCCGCCCCCAGGGGAGACGCTCCCTGGGCGAGCGAGGGCTGCGGCCACCCGTCTCCGCCTGAGGACATGGCGCTCCCCACACCTGCACCCCAGCATGTCACGGCGCATGAGGCCAAAAGGCACTTCTGCCGCACAGGATCCACGGGATGGCCCCTCCCGGCCCCGCCTCGACGTGGAAACCACCGCCCGCCCTCGCTGGAGTGGGGAGGCACGCGGGCATGACACACACACACACATACACACACACACACACACACACACACACACACACACACACACACACACACACACACACACACACACACACAAATCGCTTCCGGGGGTACACGGCAGGATCGGGTGTGTGGGTGTACCGAGATGCGCGGGCGCTGGGAACTCTCGGCTGCTGTGCACCAGGGGCTGTTCTGAGGACGGGCAGGGAGTGCACCCCGACCCCTGGTGTGGGAGGAGGCGGAGGAGGAGGAAGAGGAGGAGGAAGAGGAGGACGAGGAGGCGGAGGAGGAGAGGGAGGGGGGGGAGGAGGAGGAGGAGGAGGAGGAGGAGGAGGAAGAGGAGGAGGAGGAGGAGGTGGAGGAGGAGGACTGGGCGTGCCGTCCGAGGAATGCCCCGGGCCTCCAGGCGTCGTGGCGCCTCTCTGCTTGGTCGCGGCGCCAGCGTGCGCGCGCGGAGCCCGGCTCGCGGCCCGAGCAGCCCCTCCGCACGACTCCCGCCCGGAGCCTGGGCCTCCACGCCGGCGTGAAGCTCTCCACGATCCGCCCGCTCGCACGCCCCCCTCTCCTCGGCCGCCCTCCTCCCTCCCCTTGCCTCCTGCGGCGTTGGAGGCGGCCAGGAGGTCCGAGCTGGCTGGGCACCGAGAGTGGCGGTCAAGAGCAGGGGATGTGGGCAAGTACGCTCCAAGATGGTCCCCGGACCCCTGCCAGAGGGCCCAGCTGGTACAATTTTTCGCCCTGGATCCGTTTTTTGTTACGGTCTCGAGGTCCGAAGAAAACGGTTCCGCAGACCGAAAAAGGCAACACACGCTCCTGCCTCCCACCCACCCACCCTCCTCCTTCCTGACTACCTACCAGACCACTCCAACCCAACCCGAAGACCCGAATTTGACCCGAATTTCGGGTTGGGGGGGGTACGGATACCATGTGTTTTTTCAACGTTCCCCGACCCCCCCCCACTGGAAATCGAGGATAAATGTGGGCCTTCGGGTTGGGTTGGGGTGGTTTGGTGGGTGGTGACTTCCTGCTCGTCAGAACCATTGCTGGGCCACCCACCTCTCGGACCCCCAGCCGGCTCCCACTGCGGCGTGTTGCCATCTTCTACCCCCACCTCGGCCCTTCCGCGACAGGACCCGCAGCGAACACCACGGATCCCAGGGAGGGAGTCCGAGGGCTCCCTGGCCCACGCCGGGGCACGAAAGAAGGGCACGGCGCCAGAGGTCCGAACGCTGGTGGGCGAGAGAAACATAAGATATCTGAATAGCAGCAGATCTGCCGACCCCTATCCCAGGCTTCGCGGAGTGCTCGGATGGACCAGAGATTTGGGGCCCAAACCTGGGATATACGATGAGTGGGGCGCCCATCCTCGACAGGGGTGCGTCCACCCCTGGGGTGTATCCCAGAGCTCCCCACTTTTTTTCCGAGCGGCCAAACTTCTTGGGCGGAGCTCGGGGATTGAGGGGGAAATCGCCTGCGATCGAAAACATCGAGGAACGCTTCGTCATAGTGTCATAGTGTTTGGCCTCGCGGGGCCCTTACCGGGCCTCGGGGACCGTTACAGAACGACTGGAGCATGAAAAGGCGGTCACGGACAAGTGGCCGAGAGGTCGGGGGTATAGACTGCGGTGCGACGACTTGACTCGGGGGCGCGCAAACATGGATTAGCGATCCATGGATTTGGCGCGCGGTCGCCAAATCCATGGATGGGGGGAGGCGCCCGTTCGGCGGCGGGAATCCGCGATTCCACATGGAAGCGGGACCCGTGGCGAGTCCACGCCCCCTTTGATCCATGCTTGCGATCGCCTGGTTGACAGATCTGCGTGCAAGGGCAGCGGCTAACGGCTAACCCCCCCCCCTGGCTGCGCAACGAGGAGGCGGGAGGGTGGGGGGTCGGTGCGCGGGCCGCCCTGGTGGACCGAGCAGACGCCCCACGGGCGAGGACAGGTGAGCCCTCCCCGAGTGTCCGTCTCTGTACATGTACCAGAAGAAGGCGAGGTGCACCTGCCAGGCAGCACTCAGCCAGCCACCGGGCACCCACCCACACTCACGCCACCTCGCGGGCCCCTCCTGCCCACATCCGCCCACGCCGGACCCTCACCCGGCCAGCCTTGTCCCACCCCACCCCTCCAGAACCAGCCACGCCCACCCACGCCCACCCGCACGCCCCCCCTCCGCGCCGCCCCCCCCGCCCGCACACGCACACACACACACACACACACCAACACACACACACACACACACCAACACACACACACACACACACACACACACACCAACACACACACACCACACACACGACACAACACGACACGACACGACACGACACGACACGACACGGCACGGCACGGCACGGCACGGCACGACACAGCACAGCACAGCACAGCACAGCACAGCACAGCACAGCACAGCACAGCACAGCACAGCACAGCACAGCACAGTACAGCACCACACCTTACACCTTACACCTTACACCTTACACCTTACACCTTATACCTTACATCTTACACCTTACACCTCACACCTTACACCTTACACCACACCGCACCACACCACACCACACCACACCACACCACAACACAACACACACGCGCACACACACACTTTTTTTACAAGCGCAAAGGGGGTCCTGTGGCGAAGAGGCAGGCAGGAGGGGAGAGGGAGGGAGGAGAGGGGGGGCAGCCGCTGCACCGAATTAGCTGGGCGCCTCAGGCGCGCCCGCCCGCGCGGCCAGGCGGGCGCGCAACGCCTCCCGCCAAGCGCCCTCGCCGCCCCCGGCCCGCGCCGGCGGCAGCAGGAGCAGCGCGCCCACGCGCGGCGGCAAGGCGGGGCGCCCAGCCTGCGCACGGGCGAGCAGCCAGGGCACCCCACCCCTGCGCCGTGCAGCCGCGCTGCAGGCAGTCTGCCCAGCCTGGCCCTTGCGAGGCGGCGTGGGCCCTCCAGGATCGCCCGCCGAAGAGCGCCTGGGCGGCCGCCGCCACGGGCTGCCGCGGTGGGTGCCGCAGGGGCTGCGGGGCCTGCGGCGCTGCTGGCGGCGCCTGCTGCGGCGGCCCGCCGCCGGCAGCCGCCGGGCGTCGCTGGCCTGCGGTGCGCCGGACGGCTGCCCATCGGCGCCGGGGCCCGCCTGGCGCGGTGCAGTCGTGGTTGGCCTTGAGGGCCGCCAGCTCCACCGCCGCCAGAGCTCGCTGGACGCCCTCCAGCGCCTGCAGCTGCCGCTCGCGCTGCTGCAGCAAGGCCGGGGCGGGCAGGCGCGCCCGCGCGGCCGCTCCAGCCAGTCTGTCTGCCGCCGCGTTGCCAGCGTGGTCCTCCTGGGAGAGCCCCCTCCCCCGCGCCTCCTCCTCGTCCAAGTGGCCCTTGACCCAGCGGGCCCTCAGCCAGTCGGCCCGGCAGTAAGGTGCCAGCTTGTCCCAGAAGTCTGCGTGCGACCATTCCATGGGCGTTGCCCCGCCCCAGAGCGCCGTCACGCCGTTGCTCACGTACTTCGAATCCGTGATGACCTCCACCGGCCCACCGGCCAGCCCAAGCGCCTGCAAGGCAGCCAAGAGCTCGGCGCGCTGCGCGGTCTGCGCGCAACACACACACAAACAAACACACGCGCGCGCACGCACGAACGCACGCACACACGCACTCACGCACGCATGCACACACACACACACGCACACGCACACGCACACGCACACGCACACGCACACGCACGTGCACACGCAAACGCACACAAACACACACACACACAGACACACACACACACACGCACGCACGCACGCACGCACGCACGCACTCACTCTCTCACACACACATACACACACACGCACACGCACACGCACACGCACACGCACACGCACGTGCACACGCAAACGCACACAAACACACACACACACAGACACACACACACACACACATTCACACACGGCCACTACAGACACACAACACACACGCACACGCACACCGCAAACGCACATCGCACACACACACACACACACACACACACACACACACGCCCGCACGCCCGCACGCCCGCCCGCCGCACGCCCCGCAGTCCCGCACCACCGCACACCCGCACACCCGCACACCCGCACCACACACACACTCAACACACACACACACACACACACGCATACCCGTCACACCACCGCACACGCACTCACGCACACGCACCCACCAGCACACGCACACGCACACGCACACGCACACACGCAACACACACCACACAGCACACGCCCACCACGCACACACACACCACACACAACACACACACACGCGCACGCGCACACGCACACCGCCCCCCCAGCCACGCACCACGCACACGCACTCGGCACACGCACACACGCCACACGCCCACACGCACTGGCCACGCACACGCACACACACCACACACACACCACACACACACGCACGCACGCACGCACGCACGCTGACTGTCTGACTGGCGTAGTTCCGTCTAGACACACACGCATACACACACGCACACGCACACGGCACACGCACACGCACACGCAAACGGCAAACGCACCACCACACGCACACACGCACGCACACGGCATACGCACACGCACACGCACACCCCGCACGCGGCACACGCACACGCACAACGCACACGCACACGCGCACGCACGCACGGCACGCACGCACTCACGCACGCCATGCACACACAAGCACAGCGACACACACACACAACAACACCACACACACACAACAAACACACACCACACACACCGCCACACACGCACACGCACTCACCACGCACACACACACTGCACACCACACGCACACGCACCACGAAGCACGCCACACGCCCACGCACACGCACAACGCACAAGGAAACGCACAAAACGCGCCACGCGCACGCGCTCGCGCACGCGCACGCACGCACGCGCACGCGCACGCGCACGCGCACGCGCACGCGCACGCGCACGTTCGCACGCACGCATGCACATACACACAAATACACACATACATACATACACACACGCACACGCGCACGCACACGCACACGCGCACGCACACGCACACGCGCACGCGCATGCGCACACACACACACACACACAGAAACAAACACAGAAACAAACCCACACACACACACACACACACACACACACACACACACGCACACACACGCACACACACATACAAACATACACACACGCCCACTCCAGCCCACCGTCCCATACTCACCAACCCTCGCACCAACACCACCCCTCGTAACCCTCCGCCCACCCCCACATCTTGGCCCTGGTCCCCCAATTTCTCCTGCTGCTGCTGCTGCCCTTCGCTCTCCAGCCACTCCCTTACCTCCGCCTCCTCCTCCACATCCTCCTCCTCCTCCTCCTCCTCCTCCTCCTCCTTCTCCTCCTCCTCCTCCTCCTCCTCCTCCTCCTCCTCCTCCTCCTCCTTCCGTGCCTCCTCCGCCATTGCAACAGGCGCGAGTGGCGCCAGAAGAGGTTGTTGCATTGTCGTCAAAGGCCCCTTGAGGGTCTTCGGACTTCGTTCCCCGAATCTGCTTTCTCGCGACGTTCCGTGTCGCGCATTCCCAACGTCCTGGCGTCCTCCTGCCCCTCCTTCGCCTCCCTCTGCCCTCCTCCTCCTCCTCCTCTTCCTCCTCCTCCTCCTCCTCCTCCTCCTCCTCCTCCTCCTCCTCTCCTCCTCTCTCTCCCTCCCTCCCTCCCTCCCTCCCTCCCTCTCCCGCCCTCCCCGCCTCACCTCCCCCGCCATCGCCCACGAGCGCACCGCCCGGCCCCCGCTCTTCTCCGAGGCCGCCCACGCAGGAGGGGGGACTGCCGACGCGCGCCCTCCGTGCCCGCCGCCGCGCAGCCTCGGCGGGAGAAGCGGTGGCCGGCCGCCACCCCCCCGGCCGCGCGAGGGCACCGGAAGACAAGAGAGCACGGCGGAGAAACACGAGCTTGCGACTGCCCGCGCGGAGTTCTGGGATCCGCGCCAGTCCCCCCCTCTCCCTGGCGCGCGGAGCGCGCCAGGGGCGGCGCCGGAGCGCGCCGCCAGGGGGGCCGCAAGGCGGGCACCTGAAATCCGCTCGGACACTCGAAAGCTTGTTTGTGCCGCTTCTTCTTCTTCTTCTTCTTCGAGGCGCTTCTTCTTCTTCTTCAGTCGAAGACTTCTTCTTCTTCTTCTTCGAGGCGCCGCGCCCCCGAGGAGGGCGATGCGTGGAGGCTGCTGAACGTGCCCCTGGGCCTTCCGCCGGGCGTTGTCTCCTGGGGGGGAAAGCTGGGCCCAGGGGATGGGGGCCGGGAGCTTTGCGGCCGCGCATTGGGGAGCACAGAGAGGCCATCGCTCGGGCGTCCACTCCCTGCGTGTTGTTCCGCTTCGTGCGTGGATTTTTCGCCAAATGATCAAGGATGCTCGTCGATGGTCCTCGCCGAAGGAAAAACGCACACGTCCGAGCGATGCCAAGCAGAGAGGCCGCGCGGAGGCTGCCGAGGGTTAGAGGCGACCAGGGGGGTCTGAACTGGGTGGGCCCCGCGGGAGCCTGCCAAGAAGGGGGGATCGAGGCAACCTCCGCTCAAAATCTGTCCCCTCCTCCTTCTCCTCCTCCTCCTCCTCCTCCTCCTCCCTCCCTCCCTCCCTCCCTCCCTCCAGGAGGCTTTCATCCCAGATCCATGTTTGATGGTGCTGGGGACCGAAAGTAGCTCTCGGATGCAGAAACAGCAACCACAAACTCAACCTCGCCCCAATTTCCGCTTGCAGGACGCAGTGCTGGGCCCACCCTGGACCCCCGGCCAGCTCCAAGCTGAAGGTGCCCCTCGCCCGCGGCGCTCCAACTGAAAGTTCAGACCTGTGACGATGGGACTTTTCTCAGTCGGAGACCGCCCCCCCCCCCCCACGCGGGCTTTGCCGCCGAGTGTGTGTGTGTGTGTGATGTGTGATGTGTGATGTGTGATGTGTGTGTGATTTGTGATGTGTGCGTGTGCGTGTGCGTGTGCGTGTGCGTGTGCGCGTGCGCGTGCGCGTGCGCGTGCGCGTGCGCGTGTGCGTGCGCATACGCATGCGCGTCC